CATGCTTTTTCTGGTGATGTACATCATCACAGTTGGTGGTAACATAGCTGTCTTGATGTTGGTGAGTACCTCCCACCAGCTACATACCCCAATGTACTTCTATCTGAGAAAACTCTCTTTTCTGGAGATTTGTTATACCACAGCTGCAGTCCCTAAAACCCTGGCCATCCTACTGGGGAGGAGCCAGACCATATCCTTTATGAGCTGTCTTTTGCAAATGTACCTTGTTTTCTCATTAGTCTGCACAGAATACTTCCTCCTGGCAGCCATGCCTTATGACTGATTTCTGGCCATCTGCTGTCCTCCACACTATGGCGCCATCATAAGCAGCCTGCTCTCAGCACAGCTGGTGCTGGGCTCCTGGCTCTGTGGTTTCCTGGCTATTCCAGCACCGATGGCTCTCATCAGTAGCCTTTCCTTCTGCGGCCCCCGTGCCATCAACCACTTCTTCTGTGACATTGCACCCTGGCTCACCCTGGCCTGCCCCAGAACACAGGTAGTAGAGATCGTGGCCTTTGTGATTGCTTTTGTGGTCATCCTGTGTTCATGCCTCATCACCCTGGTCTACTATGTCTACATCATCAGAACCATCCTCAGGATACCCTCAGCCAGCGGCCAGAGCAAAGCCTCCTCCACCTGTTCCTCCCATTCTCACCATGGTGCTCATCTGGTATGGATCCATGATTTTCCTTCACGTCTGCACTTCCATCAAAGATGCTTTGGATCTGACCAAAGCCGTCAGTGTCCCGAACACTGTGGTGACTCCAGTTCTAAACTCTTTCATCTATACGCTCCGTAACAAGGAAGTAAGAAAATCTCTACTGAAGAAATGGAAAGGAAAATAAATCTCCTGCAATATGACAGATGTCCTGTAAATGGTATCCACATCTATAGAGAGGTTCCAAGTAAGAATATGAAGGAACAAGGGGGATCTTCTTTGATACAAGAGGGAAAAATAAAGAAAAAAACCTGAAAAACAAAACAAAACTAAAAGCCCACAGTATGCTCCTCTACGTTCTCACATATGATAGGAATGGGAGTTTGTGATAAGCAAACTGGACTTCTTTTTTAAGCAAACAAATAAATAATTGTACATCGAATTAGATTTGCTCTTGATTTTCATTTTTAAAATTAGGAAAAATTACCTGGTGAGAAGGATGCTTTACTAAATAAACTCTAAGTTTTTGTTCCCTTTCTTAAGATTTTTTTTATCACCTAAGTGAAAAATTTTGAGAACCATATTTGTGAAATGTGGGATATGAGAAATACAAAACATTAAATGAATAAAAACATAACTGAAATTAGAGTGTACAGTTATTTCATCATAGTATTTTTTTGGAGAAGATACAGTAAAATACATAAATATGGAATTAAAAGCTGATAATCGCAATGTGCTATATTTGTTACATGCGGATAGTGAGCAAAGTAATCCAAAAAGTGGGGAATGGAAAGTAGGTAAACAGGACTTCAGGAGGATTTGAATAAAGCGACAGAAGTCCCTTGTGTAACAATGCATTGGCCTTAGAAAAGGAAAATATTGATGCATTCTGACTGTCAACAAGTCTGCAAGGTTAGAACATCCAGTGGTTTGAGAGGAAAAATAACAAAAGGAAACAACAATTGTAGTAGTTGTTTGATTTCCCACTGAAGGACTGCATCCCTTAGGAAGCAGGATACTTTCCTTTTCAACCTTCAACACAGAAGCCTTTTACTACGGCTGTGGATTAGAGGCAGCAAATGGGGGCTCAGCAGACTTTGAAACCAGCTGCAGATATGTTTTCTTTGTCCTGCTCACATCGGCTTACACATGTACAAATAAGACCCCTTCTCACAGGAGAAATGCCTAAGGGGCTGAGTGGCAGCTGTCTGTCAGACCATGTTTGTTTGTATATTTCAAACATTTCCTGGTTTCAAAAATGAAGTAGGGGAAGATAGAACAAGAAAGCTATATATTTGAAGGAAATTGAAGAAAATGTTTATTTTTTTAACATTTGAAACAAATATATAGGTTGAAAATTTTAAGGTATATACAAGGTGACACTTCATGTGAGACAAAATAAACATCTTAGAGCATATACAAAAGAAAATAAAAACTACTTAAGAATGAACAAGCATAGATGACCCACCAGGAAAAAGAGAAGCTTGAAAAAAAAATAGCTTTAAACTATGAAATAACCAAAATTTAACTCTTGTAGTAATAAATACAATGCTGAGGGAATATAGCCATCAATCTAAATGTAACATCTATGAAAACATAATTTTTTGTACAATTATGACAGCAAGATAGTTATTTTTAGATACTTAAATCCACATATACAGACATACACATACACTCTGGTTGGAGATATTTGTCATTATCAGACATTTTCTGAAAAAATTTCTAAAGGATACTTTACCTATGTTTCCCCATCCCTGGAATTACTCATTTCTCCAGGGAGTCCTTTTTCTTTTTAGTGAGAACTAGTATTAAAGATAAAGATCTGGTCATGGTGTGTGTTAATTGCCCCTAGGAGGTTTTTATTTCTTAGCACTTTCAGCAGACATAGCTAGGGAGTACATACATTTTTTTACACATATATACACACACATGCAATAATACCTACATGCATATACATGTGCACATACAATTACTCACATATACACAGTTTAAAATCATGGCATTGAAATCTACAATTACAGTCCATCTTGTCTTGACTGATTCCATGTAGAGGTAGGGCTGGGTCTGGAGCTCACAGACCCCTTGAGCCCATTCACAAACCCTTCACACACAAGTCTATGAGCTAGGTAACCAGCAAAAAAGTCCTTGGAGCCTTGGTTGAAGAAGGAATAGTCTTTATTCAGCACACACAACACTATAAGCCAAGCAGTCCACAGAGAAACTCAGAAACTCAACTGCTACTGACAAAGTCCAAAGGAAAACTGAGCAGCTGCCAGCAGAGTGAACATGCTCTATTTTTAGTCAGGAGCTCTGCTGGCCAGCCTGCTTCACAAACTGAAGAACACACAATAGCAACAAAACTAAAAAGATACATTGGTTCACAAGCACAGTAACTCCACCTACACACAACTTGTTTACAAGAAATGTACTGCTTGACCCCGATTGGACCTGAGTCGAGGGAGCCTGACTAAATTATCCTGTTTTCCCCACATTCCATTTGCTATGTTTGTTCTTCTTCTGCAGTGAGAACCCTGACTCTCAACTATTAGGCCTCATGGCTAGCTTAACATCAGCACAGCCAGGTTAAGCAACTTTACCCCTTCTCCCCTTCCCCTTTCCCGTTTCTGCTCTGGGAACTGAGATTCCTCTCCTGGGAAGAGGTAAACATTACCATTATCATCAAGGAAACATCTTGTGGGCTGCATTTAGCGGGCTCCAGGCTGGAATGCTTTGTACTGAGATAGTGGCTAATCAAGAGCCTATGCCCTAACTGACCAGATGCCATCAGACCACAAGGGCTGTGTCACCTTGCATACCACTGATTTCAAAATTGCCCATTACTCTGTCTGAACACTCCCTAAAAGTCTTAGAAATCCCCTGCTTTCCTTAGTTTGCTGGAACTGATCTGGTTCAGTCTCCCCTCCACATTAGTGGAATAAACC